GCGTGGGGGAGAGGGGGGCCTAAGGCCTGGGTCCGCCTGGCGGACTCAACCCTCGAAGCCGAAGCCGAAGCCGAAGAGAGAGAGAGATGCATGTGTGCCAGACTTGGTCCCTCATGCAACCTGATGTCATCGTTATTTGCTGTAGTAGTGTGTTATTCAAGCTGTGTTGTAACTGTTGTGGACTAGGGGGACCAACCACCAGGAACCTAAAAGCATAAGTAGATTGCTTGCGATTCCGGGAGCTGGCTCCAAACCAATGTGATGTGGAGGATCGTCCTCTACGGCAGTAGTATCCTCCTGTTGTTTTATTACTACATGACAGTATCCTACTGTTTTATTACAACACGATCGAATCCCACAACCCACATTGGTTGCATGTGTCATACAAGTCATGGGGGACCCTGAAGGTTGTTCATAGTCCAATATACTTACCCGTGAAACCTAGGGGAACCCATGCTTTTTCACGCCCTACCGAAAGCCCCGTAACAAACGGGGGGCCCATGAGGCCGGGGGGCCTAACCAGCCCTTCAAGCCCTGTGGAAGAAGAGATGCATGCATCCCTGCATGCATGCATAAGATTATGTGAAGAGAGAGAGAGAGAGAGAGAGAGAGAGAGAGAGAGAGAGAGAGAGAGAGAGAGAGAGAGAGAGAGAGAGAGAGAGAGAGAGAGAGAGAGAGAGAGAGAGAGAGAGAGAGAGAGAGAGCGAGAGAGAGCGAGCGAGAGCGAGAGCGAGAGCGAGAGAGAGAGAGAGAGAGAGTGAGAGTGAGAGTGAGAGTGAGAGTGAGAGTGAGAGTGAGAGTGAGAGTGAGAGTGAGAGTGAGAGTGAGAGTGAGAGTGAGAGTGAGAGTGAGAGTGAGTGAGTGAGCCGGGGAACATAGGCACCAGTCTGAGTCCACCACAACAATGGAGCCAAAAGCCTGGGGGCCCGGAGTAACTGCATCTACTCTTGTGCTAGGCCCTGCTGTTACGAATGAGGCCCCTGTGTGGAACCCGACTAGTACAGGTAGTCTCACCATGGGGGCAACACGCCATAGAAAGCACGCCGTTACCGTTACGAATTCTTGGTGCTGCTCTCGTTCTAGTGTGTGCAGCCATAGGCGTGGAGCCCAGAAATGAGGGGGAAACCGGTGAGTGCAGTGAACTTCTCCTGCTTGCTGCGTACCTAGACTTGCTATGTACCTGGACCTGTGGCCTTTTTGGCCAATCCGCACTCACTGGGAACCCACAGAGCTTGCAACTTTTCGAAAGCCCCGAGGGGGAGCAGTGAAGCAGGGGAGCGCAGTCGTGGTAACGTTGTACGGTCGGTAAGCCTGCTGTCCTGTTGTACGGTCGGTAAGCCTACTGTCTTTTGCCAACGTCACCCTGCATACTAGTGTGGCCTACCTACCGGGGGAATTCCAGCAAGCGAGCCCTACGCTGAAAGATAGCCAGAGGGGCGCGGGGAAGGGGCCGGGACGCGGGAGGTTTAGTGTAAAGGGTGGGGCTCGCTACATGAAACCCGGGGCACACTACGTAGTTCTCTGCCAAAATCTGGAAAAACCCCAAAGCCAACCGCTCACTAACACAGTGGGTGGGTTGGGCGGGCCTATGGCCTGAGGGTCTTGACGACCCCTAAGCCCAGCAGAAAGAAAAGAGAGAGAGAGAGAGAGAATTAAGACGTGCAATCTAGGAACGAGCCAGGGGGAAAACCTTCACAAAGTTTTCACACCCCTCCAAAAGCCCCACAAACATCGGGGGGGCCTTTAAGGCCGAGGGATCTTGCACTCCCCTCATGCCCCGGGGAAGAAGAGAGAGAATTGCAAGAACAACGCCAAGAAGAATTGCAAGAAGAAGGTAAAGAGAATGGATGAACCTGGCCATGGTGGCTTCAGATTCAAGCCCTACAAGAAGGAAGGGGCCGTGGCCATCACTGGCAAGAAGTTGAAGCAGGTTCTGTGCTTACAGGTTCCCCAGTTGCTGCGAACAAGCTAGACTAAAACCGTATAATTGATAATTTGTAATTAGGAATTCACGGCATTTTGCTGAACTCTTGCCAGTGTCATGTCAGTCTAATCCTTGCTGCCTCAAAACGAGCAATGCTTGGGTTGAACAGTTCCGCTGCTCTCCTTTATCCTGCAGGATGCTCGAACTGAGCTTGAGAATTCGCAACTATGGACTTGTATCCCTGCTTCGTGTATTCAGCCATGCAGGAGGCAAAAAAAAACCGTTACACAAAGCCGAGGTCGTAAAGGAAAGCCCAGGTTCTCCATTTAGTCGTGCATGCTTCATTAAGAATCCCCACTGTTGTTTCCGTACAGAGGGCTTTCCACTCGACTTCGAAACCTCCTCAACCGTAGTCAAGTCCTGAACCCGATGGTCGAAGTGTAAACAGTTGCTTGTTGCCTAAAGCCTGAAACCGGTACTCTCAATAACGGGGGGACATATCACGAAACACGAACTGTGCAGAAAGCCGAAGCTGTTATGATTGTGTGTTGTGAGTTAAAACCTTACTTTGCTTTTCGATGCCCCGACTTTCTGTGCAAGCCCACTTTTCTTCTGATCAGAGTCCGTCAACCCTTAAGAGAAAGGAGTGCTACCGATGCAGGCTAATACTGTAGACGAGCCATCTTGTAGGAGACCTGCTTTTCCGCAAATAATGCAAGCCTGCCTGTGTAGCACGCCCTTGTAGTGCCGGGGGACCCGATGATTCTGTGTGTAGTGTTGGATGTGATGCCTATGAATATCTCCTAGTGTACTGTTCGGTACAGTACTTGATGTTCATACAAAGAGGGGGACCCCAGTCTCACGGATACTAGAAAGCTGAGGCCTTGGCCCCTCTGCCTAAACTTGCTGTCATCACTTGATATGCTCCTCCTTTTGTTATCTAGGCAGCGAGGGACCAGACAAACCGAAGCAGCAGCGCTCAGGTAAAGTGCCTAAAGTTTCGGATGCCAAATTAGGAGCCAACGAAAATGTGGGGGGACAAAGGTCATGTACTATAGGGTAGTCTGTGCTAGTTATACAGTTTTGAAGTCCACTACCCACATACAAACGTTGGTTGCATGTGTCATCAAACATCATGGAAGATCCCGGGTACTCTATAGTCCAATACACAGTCCTGCAAAACCTGGATGAACCCATGCTTTTTTCACGCCCCACCGAAAGCCCCGTCACAAACGGGGGGCCCACGAGGCCGGGGGGCCTGACAAGCCCCTTAAGCCCTGCAGAAAAAGAGAGAGGTTGTGAGCTGTGGAAGACCCACACAGTACAGATGGCATCGGGGCGACCATAGCTACATCTCGCGCTACTTTGTGAACTTTGCAATTGAATATTACCAAAAGTCGCCGAGGAGTCCTAGCTTTTCTGCGTGTAATACACATGCACTCCGTCAACCAACGGGCGGCTCCCGCGGGGGCTCGCGCTCAGGCCCGGAGAAAGAAAAGAGAGTGAATCGAGAAGAAAAAGAAGAAGTGAATCACGTAATACCGTGCACACCTCCAAGGCTGCTCCTGCGGGGGCATGCCTTCAAGCCTGGGGAAAGAAAGAGAGAGAGAGAGAGCTAGGGAGGAGAAGAGGGTGTGAGTGTGGCCATGTCAAGCTTTCCGTACAGTTTGCAGCGAGCACACATGAGAGTGCCTTCATGTACTGAACGGCTCAACCCCAAAACGGAGGAAAACAGATGAGGCACAGGGGGGGATGCAGTAAAGTAAAGGGCTTCAGGGGGGTTGCTCCAGTGCCGACCGTGCCTCTTCGTGTTGTGAGCAGCGAGAGACTCGAACTTCGGTGCGTGCTCGCGCGCACTGCCCTTGTCCTCATGCAAGCAACAGAGAGAGAACGGGCAGCTCCCGCGGGGGCTCGCCGTCAAGCCTGGGGAAAGAGAGAGAGAGAGAGAGAGAGAGAAAACAACCCCCCCTGCCGAGCTGAAGAAGAGAGTGTTTACGCCTATCTTCTAAATCTGTCTTCAGACGGCTGGACCCTTTCCTTCTTCAAACATCATCTCTTGTTGGGGCACTCTGCATCAGTCATGCAGAAGAACGGCTGCCTGTAAAAGTGTGAAAGAACCACTTGTAATGGAATTTAAAGGAATGCAGGGACTTTGCAAGATGGCATTTTATCAAGCACACCAGCGTCGTCCCTGAACCTTCCACAACTTCAGCCTCTTGTGGATGCGAACATTTTTTTGCAGCGGCCCTTAGAGAAGCAAGCAAGTTTCTGCCCCCAGGTCTTCACTTTGGAAGTCAAGCCAAGGTTTTTCTCTGCCAGGGCCGATGTCACCCGCAAGAGTGCGACAAGCGGCGCACGGAGCTTACGAAACACAGCGAGCATGAAAGCCTAGATTCCAGGATGTCCTTTCAAAAACTTGAATGTTCAGGCTGCCCCGGTGACATGGCTGCCAGCTCAGGCATACCTGCATTGTGAGAGTGCAGGGCAGACCTGCCGGGCGTCCAGACTAACTGCGGGAGGGTAGCGTTGTGCTACCACTGAGCTTGGGAGAAAAACTCCGCGATCTCCGCCCTGCAACAGCAGAGAGCGCTACAGCGGCGGCTATAGCGGAATTTGGAGAGTTGGCAAGCGGGACGCTCATCCACCCACCGGTAGCACAGGGATTGACTTAGCAGGCGCTTTACGCAAGAGCAAATGCGCATAAACCTGGTTCTGCCTTCCTCGATTTGCGTTCGTGGACCGCAAGCTTATCATCAAGATACTGTACCTCTCAAGGCGAGGCCGGTGCATGGCATAGCTGCCAATGACATCCCATTATGGGAAAGCTTGCGGTGAAACAAGACGCAAGAGAACACTGCCTGTGTCCACAGGCTGTCCATTCATTGCTGGCATACAACCAAAGCCTGTGCTGAAAAATGTGAGGTACCAGTTATCAGTAGGGACATTCACCGTGTTTTGCCAATTCAGCTGAACCCTGCTTTCGGTGGGTTGGCCAAAGCAGACAATCAGACGTGGATGAAAATATGGTATTCAAAAATGCCGCCAGGTCGTCACGAGCACATCTACGCCGGCAACTATGACACCTGCGACATTGACGCCGAACTCGCCATTCAGTCCGCTTGGAGCTCGGCCATGCACAGCATTCAACGCTTTCTTGCGACGATATGCCAGCGGCCTGGGCATGCAAGAGCAGGTCGTTCTTTCCCACGCCATCGACTCCAGGCAGATTTGGGGATACCCTAGAAGCTGATGACCATGTATCAGCTTGTAGATGCGATGCATGCGCCTGTCGCGGATGGAGGCGCGTCCATACTGCAGCACAGGCCTCAGCAGCAACGATTACACAAGCCATCGGTTCAGATGAATCCCGAGCACGCATTGCCTCACATACAATTGTTGCCCTGGCAGCACCAGCTGTAGAAAACAGCCATTAGAAGGGCTCCAGTAGGCCCATATAAACTCCCCTAAAGACGCTGAAAATTCTTCGACGCCCATTCAAGAAGCTTGAAACTAAGGCACCCTGGGCCTAGGGCGTCAGTTGTTCACTCCTCAGGGTTGCTCAACACGCAGGAAACATAGTTGACATTATAAAGGCTATTGTGTTTGACCCTCCTCAACTGGTTGCAACCCTTCAAAAGCCTTGGCCCGTTGAGATCGCCCCAAATCGACCCTTCATTTAACTTACCAACACAGTCACAGCCATAACCCCTACCTGTTCGAGGTTGTATTAGCACTTTTTGCATGGTCATCACCATCATCATCAGCAGCAAGATCTCGCCCACCGTGCTGTGATCTGCCCCCACCCCCACCCCCTCAGTCAAAATGCGCGTAAACGCATGGCCTCTTGCAGGCGCCGGCCCCAACATGTCAGGAGGATTTCCTTGCTGTCGCTTCGCAAAGCAGTGTTTGGACGGATGCCGTTGTTTTCGCTTCAGACAAGGCACTTGGTCCTTCCCAAGAGTGAGAGTCAGGTCTTACAGCCTCGGCATCGGCACTCCAGCCATGTGCTCTACACCGCCCTGGCACACGAGACAAGGCAAGCAAAGAGGAGTTCGTCGCAGACCGTTTTTGTGACACCTTTCAACAGGCAGAACTGTTGCGACCTTTCCGCACCGCCCTTGGCCATATCCGGGTGAAGACATGCATACCTTGGCCAATGATTGGAATTGTTTCTCGAAGACTACACTTCTGGGAGTTCGTAGGGCGACCCTTGAGATAGCACTAGGGCGACCCTTGAGATTGCACTTACCGTCTAGTGTCGTCAGTAAGCAATAGAATCACAAGTAGCTTCCACTGAGCGTTTAGAAGCTCAATCAAGTTTTGCTCGTTTTCTTGCCATGCCGAGGGAAGAGCCGATCCTCATGCCAACAGCTCCCACACAGGTCCGGACTGCATGCACGCAAGTGAATCGAAGCGGCAGTTGTGATTCCATGTCATGTGTTGGTGTTGGTTGCACCGTATGCATGCATATCCGACGTAGGTTTGACCCACCGTAAAAATTGCAAGCATACTGATGACAGCGACACAGTGACAAGGGCGTGAGTACTCAAAGGAATCATAAGAATAATTTTAACGCTACGCCGCCCGCCTCGGCTCTGTAGCGGCAGAGCGAGGCGGCAGTGGATGTTGTATACAGCATGCTAGGCGGGCCTCTCAACCCCCCTCGAAACGGGTGAGTGTCGATTGTGCGAGCGCTATCTTCCGGCCTTACTGCTCTTTTGCTGGTCATGCGGCCGCGGACGGCGACGGAAGGAACCTGGAAAGAAGGAAAAGCAGCGGATTGAAGGGAGGGGGGCGGCCTGGAAGGGGGGCAGGCAGACAAATCAGGTAAAATGAAGCGGTGCTGGCACCGCGTTGCTTGAGTCTGGTAGTCTCCTTGAATCATGGTCTGAATTGCGGTAACAATGTCAGGGGTTCTGTTGCATCATGGTGATGATGATGGTGGTGGTGGTGATGATGTGATGATGTGACGATGTGATGGTGATGACGGAGTCAAGCGGCTTCGGGCTTGTGTTTGCACTTCGCACACCCGCAAAGCTTGCTGTTGAACATGATCGGTTGGCTAGCGGCCCAAGATTTGCAGACATGTCCGGATGGTTTTCTGATTCTGCTGGTTGTACTTTTACTTTCACTTCCGCTACATGTGCGCCAAATGACAATTCTGTTAAAAGACCTTTTTCAAAACAGTCCTCGAGCCAAAACCACAGTAACAGCCACATGTGTTGCTGAAATCGCTTGACCTTGATGACCTTGCACGGCGCCCAACGGTGTACCTACCTGGTTTATGCCTACCAAGCGGCGCTTGGAATTTTGTGTGTTTTTGAGTTTTTGAAGTCTTTTTGAGTTTTTTGGTTTTGTGCAGCCAGCCCAGTGCAAGCCCGGGGCCCGGCCGCAAGTATGGGCCCAGCCCACCCCCCAAAGCCGGCCACGCCAAGCTACCACGTCCCCAACCCAGCCTGTTAGCAGTCCACTGCGGCTGCCATGTTCCATGTGTCAAAACATCCGTTAGCACTGTCGCTTTCTAATCTTTCTATGTGGAGAGCGTTGCAGTCAGAAGGGGGCAAACGAGCCACTCATCAACCTGCGCCAGTTTTGATCTCCTTTGACATGCCGCTCGCTTAGAGCCTCCAGCTATTCCGCTCGCAAGCGCACAACGTGCAAGTTCGAGCATGTCCGAACATGTAGCGATTCATCCTACCGTTTTGCTTACCGGAAACACATACCCCCGAGAGCCTCGTTAAAATAATTACCAAACGCTCCAAGTCTGGAAAATCGTGGCACAGCTCCTCCGTGGTAAGTTTGTGGCTGAGACTTGTGTGGAGCAGTGCCTGCCGTGTGCGAGAGTGAGAGACGAAAGCTTTTTCAGTTTGGTTTCCAAATCGGGCCGCTTTAGTTAAGTGTTGTGGCATGTTCAAAAAAGTTCGCAATCGAAGACTGCCACTGGTATGTTGGCATGTGGTTCAGTTTCCCACCACAGTTCCTGGCGTCTCTTCCTCCAGAACACGTGCTTTCGCCTCCCCACATCGGTGGTTTCGCCATTGTGTGCATGTGCGTCGATAGGTGTGCCATGGTGTGCCCTTCTATGTATGTATGTATGTATGTATATACACATCTTTGTACATATGTGTCAACAGCAACAGCCACAGCCACAGCCACGGCCAACAGCCGACAACCAACAACAATAAACACAATAACTACAACAAACACAACAAACACAACAACCACAACAACCACAACAACCACAAACACAATCACAACAACAGCAACAAGAACAACAACAACCACAACGAAAACAACGCGCGGACGCCCTGTAAACGCGCGCGCGGCTGGAAGGCAGACCTGTGTTGGTTTTCTGTCTTTTTGCAGGTAGGCAACAAAACGTGGCCTGCGTGGGACAAACAGCACATGCTGACATAGACGTCTGTTTGTGTTCATTGCACGTGCAATTGCTGCATGCACGCGCGCGCGCCCCCCCCTTGCCGGCATCAAAAACGCCCATTTCGCGCGAGACGTCCTCCACACAGTTTTTTGGAACTTCACGCGTTTTTTTGTTTTTCTGCACAGGAAGCAAAAAAACGTGGCCTGTGTGGGAAAAACGGCACATAAATAACCAAATTCCTAAACCATCCCCAAAAAATAAAATGACTGAAAAAGGAGCGCTTTTCTACACGAGCGTTAATTAAACACGGTGCCTCCAACCACACCGAAAGAGCCCCTGCCACAAAGCAAACGAGCAGAAGTTTAGGGTTTAGAGTTGGAAGAGTAGGGTTTAGGGTTTAGGCCGGCATCAGCTCCTTTGCTGAGGCTTTCGAACTCAAGGCAGAAGAGGTTGCAGCTACCAAGCCAACCAATCCGCTTCTGCGAGAAGGGCGCCTCGAGAACATTAGGTCTTCCACGTGGATGCGCTGTTTCGAAATCGCGGTAGACCATGGACGTCATCAGGTCTTGGACATGGATGCGCTGTTTCGAAATCGCGGTAGACCATGGTCTGATCTGGACGTGATCATGGTTGGCCCATGGATGCTCTGCGGCAATGGATATGGTCTGATCTGGACGTGATCATGGTTGGCCCATGGATGCTCTGCGGCAATGGATATGGTCTGATCTGGACGTGATCATGGTTGGCCCATGGATGCTCTGCGGCAATGGATGCTCTGCGGCAATGGATATGGTCTGATCTGGACGTGATCATGGTTGGCCCACGGATGCTCTGCGGCAATGGATCTGGTCTGATCTGGACGTGATCATGGTTGACGCGGTAGACCATGGACGTCATTAGATCTTGGACATGGATGCGCTGTTTCGATTTCGCAGTAGACCATGGACGTCATTAGGTCTTGGACATGGATGCGCTGTTTCGAAATCGCTGTGGACCATGAACGTCATTAGGTTTTGAACATGCATGCGCTGTTTCGAAAGTAGACCATGGACGTCATTAGGTCTTGGACATGGATGCATTGTTTCGAAATCGCAGTAGACTCTCTGAGTAGACCATGAAAGTCATCAGGTTTTGGACATGGATGCGCTGTTGTGGACACGCCGAAACCACCGATGGCAGTGGTGTTTTCGGCAGGTAAACCGCAGTAGACCATGGACGTCATTAGGTCTTGGACATGGATGCGCTGTTGTGGACACGCCGGAACCACCGATGGCAGTGGTGTTTTCGGCTGGTGAACCACACAAAACACCGCAAATACCGATGTTTCAGGCGCCACTAGAAATGTGGAAAGTGCACACGCCGGAACCACCGATGACAGTGGTGTTTTCGGCATGTGACCCACGCAAAACACTGCAAATACCGGTGGAATTGGCACATGCGAAACGCGCGTTTACAGGTGGTCCGAGCCAAAAACAAACAACGACTGCAGCAGCAACAGCAGCAGCTGCAGCAGCAACACAGCAGCAGCAGCAGCCACAACCACAACAACAACAACGACAAGAAGAATGACAATGATTTTGTATTTGTTCATTTACATGTACGCTTCTGCTCGCGCTGCAAGTATAGTTACATACATCTATAAATATCTGCGAATTCGTTTCTGGTATTCACAGCGAGACTGTTTATGTAGTTGTCCGTGTGTACGAACATCCCTCACACCTTTCGTTATTCTCGCGCTTTGTTCTTTCGCGCTGTCTCTCTCTCTCTCTCTCTCTTTGTCTCCTCTTCCTCTTCTCAAATGACATCGCTAGGAACCTAGCAATGGCGAACAATGCAACGCGGAATAGAGAACACTGGAGTGTAGGTTGCAGAGTCAGCTGGCATTGCCAATGCAGTATTCATCGTCTTCGACATGGAGTCCTAATCTGCTAGTTCCTGCGCAGGCATTTGCATCTGCCGATGCAGCTTTACCGTGCCGGTCAGCATGGCAAAGGTCGCGGTGCTGGATGCAGATTGTCGTTTTGGAGCTAGTAGGGCATATGGAGACAGGCATTCGACAACCTGCTGTTCAAGGGACTGTGAAACACTTACGTACTGCAGACCTGCGTGTGCCGCAGGTCACTAGCACCAGGACTGACAAGACGAGCCGGCTCGACATGCTCGACTCCCCAACCTGTTGTCGATGTCATGAACCATTCAACTTCGGAGCACTGGCAAAATGCTGAAGGTTTGACCGAAGCAGCCCCAAAACCTCGGGAGCTTCCGTCAGGACGTGACGCACAAGCTAGCCTCTCGATTCGATTACGGACAGCAATCCAAGAAGAGCCTCGGACGCAAAAACAGTCCTTAGTCACTCCAGAGGATCTTGCAGACACTGCTGGGCCGGGAGCCTCACTCCAGGAAATGGAGCACCACATCGCACTGCAGCCTCGGCCTCAGCGGAAGCCACGGTTCGTGTTTGTGCGCTGTATCGCGCAGCATTTCGCGATGCGATATCTTGGCAAGGGCGATAGAGCCTCCGGTGCCCCCGAAAGAAAATCTCCCAGTGACGTACCCTCCATGACCCTCCTCACCTCTGGGACTCCAGGCCTAAGATGTGGGCAGGTGCAAAGCCTCAGAAAAACACATCTTCAACCTGATCCTCAGCGGAGCACCTGTATGGTTCTTGTTGGCTCGGACTGGTGACTTGGGACCTCATCTGGCTAGTCCGAGCATGAGAGCCACCAACTTTAGCCTGTCATCGAGACTGCACACCAAAGCCTCAAAACCTGAACCCTAAAGCAGCTTAGAGATGCTGACACGCATTCCTACCAGTGCACGTGTTATTGTAGTGCCCTACTGCTGCCTCCACTACTACTACTACTACTACTCCTCCTGCTGCTGCTGCTACTGCATTGCTAGCACCACCACTACCTTCCTTGCCACGACCGCAAACACAACCACGACCACCGCCTCTGGCGCCATCTAACTGTATCCACCTCATTTTAAGACTTTTGGGATTCTCATTCCCCATCCCCTGATATTGGCCAGCAACGTACACGGTCGTCGTGCTAGCCATTTTAAATCCTCGCCAATGAATGTGTCAGTTATGGCCTCCAAGGACATGTCCAAAGATGGGCTTGCACGACGTTGAACGTCGTTGTTAGCCGATTCCGGTATCGGAGATAGTTGGCTGGGACGACGTTGAACGTCGTTGCTAGCCAATTTCCTTCCGAGCCTTTTCCGGAACTCGTCCTACATCCAAAGGCTGATCTAGAATTATAGAAGCTGAACCCTGTCACCAGCCGACCTCGCGAGCAAAGCCGAACTCGAGGAACGAACCCCAAAGCCGAACTTCTGGTCCAATGGCCAGGGGCCCTTGCCTTGGTCCTCTCCCTTCTCCACTTCTCATTCGGGCCTCCACTTCTCAATACTCGTCACTTCGTTTAAACTCCATTTCGGTGCCCGTTTCTACATTTCGGGCTCGGGGTCTCCGGCTCCCCGGCGCTGCATTGGAAAGTTGATGCCTCCAAGAGCGCCACACTCTGCATCCAATTGCTCCGTCTCATCGCCAAGGTTCAGGTTTATCGCCATTCCTCACAGGCTTTGTGGAGTCTAGTATTCTTGGTAAGAGGGGAGAGTTTCTTCTTCAGATGAGGTTCTGGCTGCAGGCAGATCAACACCGTAATCACGAATTGGTGTGCTTGATGCCGTAGCCTTTGATCACGGAGGTCCCGGTTCATTCGGTTTGGTCGATGCGCTTGTTCTTGACTTGTCCACTAGACAGCTCATCTTGGTCCACTGATTCTGTCCAGAGGTTGTTTTCTGCGGCTCCTCCGCTCACTGGGGAGCCACCTGATTTAAGCTGGAACGCTGAGGATCGAAGCCGCCGAAGCAACTTCACCAAAGGCACATCCACGGGTTCCCGCGAACATGTAGCACAATGTAGCGCAGCATTGAAAGGATCTGATAGAAGCTAGATTCGTGGACAGAGCATGAGCTATACAGATCATGAGCGTCTCTTTCCAGTACCAACTAAGGGAGAAAACAACCATCTGCAGTGTGAACGGTTCTGCTTGCTGCCCTATCCTTTTATGCAACTGCACCAGGTGAAAGTGCAAGCCCGAGGTGGGCAGCTGCCGGGCTACTTGCGCCGAGTGATTGTCGAAGACACTGCCAGATTTTGCAAAACGACCAGACGATTCAGCCAGCAAGAAATTGCAAGAACCGAAGGGAAAAAGCAACAAACAAGCGACCATCAGCCAAATACAAACAGACTAGAGACTTGTCCACCGGGAATCCCCAAACAGTGAAAGACCGTACCAAGAAGAATGCCAGAGCCGGACCGGGAAGTCGCGACCGCCGGGCCGATTTTGCATTATGCTTGTGAAACTGCAAGTCGCAACTGGTTGCCATCTGTGTCAGGCTGTGTTTCTCATATTTCGGCGGTGTGTGAAACCTCGGGTTTGTTGCCGCCGTTGTTTTGCAGAAAGCTGAAGTTTTGTACTTGGCAAATTTGCAGACGGATGTGGGGAACTGTCGCAAGCAAGTTGTACTGTTTGCCATTTTCTGTTACGTGCTTACGGTACTTTCAAAACCGTTTTTGTCCACACGTACCCTGGGTTAGACGTGCCTGCCGGCTTCCCTTAGCCAAGAATCGTGGTGTTGACAACTTTTTGTAGACATTCGAAAGCGAATGTGTGCAGTCGAAGCATGAAGCTCTGAAGCCAAACTCCAGCGCCCGAAATGCCAAGCTGTTTGTAGCTAAACGGCGGGGAGCAAGTAATGGCTTGGTATCCGGTGTTGCCCCGGCCCAGTAACAGTGACCACAAACAGACCCACAACAAAACGCACAAGCAAAACTCATCATCTCCGCATGGAGTTTGATGATCCAGCACCCATGTATGTAGTCTCTGCATCAGAAGGTTTGATCTTATAGCCATATCCAAGCATATCCCTGTTTCCTATCTTCTTGTATTAAGGGGGTCGGCCAGAAGGCCGGTTCTGGAAAACTAGTTTGGCCAGAATTTGCTGGTGCCATTTTTTGTGCCTCTGTTTGATAGTTTGTGGTTGTTTTTTGTGCTGTTCCTTGTGCGTTTGTTTGTGCCTATGTTTGGCAGTTTGTGCTTTGTTTTTTGTGATTTTTGCGGTGCTATGTTGTGTGAATGTGTCTCCTAGTTTGTGTGTTTTTGCTGCGCTGTTCTTTGTGACTTTTTTGTGGGTATGTTTGTGCTTTCATGTTTTGTGTTTGTTGTGAATCAGTTTTTGTTTTTTGTAGAAACCATGTTTGGCAGTTTGTGTGTTTTTTTGCTGTGCTATTTTTGTGAATGTGTTTCCTAGTTTGTGGTTGTTTGTTGTGCTTCTGTGCGTTGCGTTTGTTTGCTTGCCTGTTTGTTAATTTGTGTTGTTTTTTGCGCTTTCATGTTTTCTACTCGCCTAGGAAAATCAAGTTTAGTCTCAAACTTGCTCTGTCTCTGTCCAACCCAGTGTAGGCCTGCTGGCAGGCTGTCTTTACTCTCCGTCCACCCTTGAGATAGTGACCCGTCTGAGCCTACCTGGTTCCTCGACCGTCTTGGTGTAGCGTAAAATGCAATGCCATTACCACCCATGTCTTAAAACCCATCTATGTAAATATCATATCATGTACATCGATATCCTAGCAGATACGGGCTAGAATATGGGTAGTAATACAAAATATTTAGTCTTGTAGTCTTATAGTCGTATACTCATGGGCACAGAGTGGCATAGTGTTACAGTCATCATCGTCAGGTTGTCGTGTTATGCAAGGGAGTTATAAGTTATACAGTCTTCATTATTCTACGAGATATGTAATATGTTTATTAGTCTCAAAGTTGCAAGTTGGTAGTAGTAGTAGTAGTAGTAGTAGTAGTAGTAGTAGTAGTAGTAGTAGTAGTTGTAGTAGTAGTAGTAGTAGTAGTAGTAGTAGTAGTAGTAGTAGTAGTAGTAGTAGTACTGTAATAGTAATAGTAATAGTGTAAACCTGGTAGCTGTGGACTGAGGGTTGGGGGCCGGGATGGCAAAGGGTGTCTGGCTGGGGTTAAGGCTGCAGAAGGATGTGCCGGATATGTGTTTCTCTGGTCCTTGTGTGAAGCATACTTGAGTCACGTTTCCTGGCTCTCTCTCTGGCTTGTGTGTTTAGTCGAAACCCTATTTTTTGAACTGTTACTGGACCGGGGCAACACCGAAGCAGCTTGGAACAAGTCACAAGGTCGAGCGCACTGATTCGTTGTGGGGGTGTTGCAGTGAACCGAAATAGCATCGAACGGAATCTCTGATCATCCGGAATCCCAAACCTGCGGGTCGGAACTGCTGTAAACCAACGCACTGTTGACAGCCCTTAAATTTCGCGTCAACCTAGCTGACAGAACGGCTGAGACTCGCAACTCGTCTTCCCGAGAGGATATCTTTCATGCTGTACCCTCGGAGAGAACGGGCTGGATGCGGTGCGCATCACACGGCAGGCTGCACTTCTACTGGAAGCAGCTGCATAATGATTTTCTTTCCTGAACCCTTGTCGGACCTTGGAAATGACCTTCGAAGGGGAGCTGGAATTCATCGCCTGGTATTCTGTTGTTGTATACAATTTGGGTGCGATGTGCATGGCGTCGTCGAACCACAGCGATCCGGTGAAGTGGCCCATGACGGTGTCGTTCTTTTTGACTCGGAAGGCCTCCAGCGCCTTAACCATCACGAGCGGGACGGGGATCGCCCCTTTCGGAATTTGTTTGAGTTCATTGCTTGAACTTGACTTGGTGTACCTCGCCATGTGCACGGGAGTGATCAATGCAGCACAACATGACATTCCAGAAAAGACACCAGGAAAGCAAACACGCTTTCACACTTAAACGCTAAGGTAAAGGCCACCTGTTGTCTCTTCTTGAAAGGGGCTGTCAAGCCTACGACGTGATAACATGGAGCTTTTGCATTTCGCAGGATCGACAACGACAGACTCTGCACGGCTTCGCTTCAACGGAACAACAGCGGCAGCCACGGCCACGCCGACAGCAGCACACTATGAGAAGCATTAAGAAGGAAAATGCAACACAGCCACATGTCGATCGGAGACGAAGTGGGACAGAGGGCTCTGCACCTGTGGGTACTTGTGGCCGATGGATGCCAAGTCCCGGTGCACCCCTCTGTGGTATCACAACCACGAGATTCGTTAGCAGACGGCGCCGGCTTGGGCCACGGGTGGCATAACCACCACCACAATCATTGCCAGGAAAGTCCGTCGCCGCCACCACAACGTCAAATCTTACCAGCACCGCATCCATCAGGGTTCTTGCACGACGTTTGGCTCCAGGTACTAGCAGAAAAGCCAGATATGCTGGAGGAAGCAGCGAAAAGCCTTTAGAAACTGGTGGTAGCAAGCGCGAAATCCCGTTTTCACCTAGTTTACGAGGCTTCTGTGCGATTCGCGATGTGATGCTGTGGTCAGCTGCAGCACTCAGACACTGAGACAGGCAGCCAGAGGAGCGAGTCGCCGTGTGTGCGAAGGGCGCCACCCTGAGCGTCACTCAAGCCAGGCAGCCTGCATGTGAGTGCGCCCGCGCGCGCGCCCGCGTTCACGTGGCGTTCACTTCGATGCCAGACAAATGCATGCCATGCCGAGCTTCCAGCAAACCGCACGCCAAGATGTCATCCGGTCGCGGTTATCCAATGCCCCGTGCGAGTTGGTCCAACTGCACGCCTGGAGCCTACTCGAGGTTTTCCGCGAGTTTTGCTTGAACAGACAGCTGGCAACTCCATCCCGAGATATCCCAACGGCGGGTTCGGTACTGTAGAGTGTGCTCAGCCTAAATGAGGAAGAACAGCCAGTTGGAGTGGACGTCCTTCCAGCTGCCTGCCCAAGCCGAAGCTCAGAGCCCGCGACAGCCCCAGGATGCACCCTGAGTGAGGAAAATCGGAAACCTCTAGAATCCTTTGAGCTGAGGCGCGTGCGCGATCGAAGATCCCTTTGCTCCTTGATGCAGACAGGAGCATGGCGCAGCTCGGCACAACCTCCGTGTCAATGAGGTGAGAGGGCAGGCTTGGACACCTCGCCACGTTCTCCGCCTTTTGGGTGCCGGACACAGCTTAATCATATCAGAAAGGTAGGCGTGAAACAACAAGCATCAGCATGTGACTGGCCGAAGGCAAGGACCCGTTCGGAAAGCAGTTCCCCAGGCTAGACCCTATCCCCAAATGGGAATCCTCGAGAGAAATACCACTTGAACTTGGGATTTCGACTTGCTAGTCAGGTCGTCGCAGAGGGTGAGGGAGGCCTGCTTCTCAGTTCAAAGTCTTGCAGCGGAATCGGGACGCTGCTGTTGCCGATCTTGCAACAGCGCAACCACACGATGTGGAAAGTTGTTGCGAAGTTGCCATCGACATTTTGGGGGCGAAAATCTTTTCGTGCATTTAATTGTGCCGTTGTGTTTGTGCGTGCGCGTGTCCGACGATGCACGGAGTCTGCGTGCGTGTCTATTCCTGTGTTTGTGCACGTGTTCTTGATTCGCTGTGCCGACTCTCCCAGCTACTGCGACGGGTGCCTCTTGTACGTTGGTGGCCAGTGTGTTCCTGGATAAAGTACGACTATGTCTAAGACTGTTCTTTCCGGGTGCATCTTGATCTTAGTGGCTATGAGTCTTGCCTGCAATACTGATCATGGCCCAGTTCCATGACATGGGTTAGGCGTGTTCTTTCAGGATACATCTTGGTGCGAGGGTCGCTGGAGTCAGATGCTGTCCCCCAAGAGCCCATGCACCTGATTATTAGGAGTGCTTTCCTGCAAATGACCTGGCCCCACCAGAGAGGACGTTGTCCTAGTCGATAGGTTCAACCGTTCAACCCACCTCCGCGTGACATGCACGTTGTTATTCACAGCATTCATCTAATGCAGTTTTCGTGACTTTGGATTTTTTGCCAGACCCGGACAGCAGAATGCTTTGTTGCCAGATGAGCCCTCGCGGGACTGGGTACCAGGAGTCGCGATCTCAGATGATTTCGGAAAAGCCGGCGCAGGCACTTCTTGTTCGGCAGTGAAGGTCCGCAGAAGCAGAGAGTCTTGTCGTTCGAGGCTGACGCAGAAGCAGCTAGCAGAGAAGCTCCCTTGGCACGCGTGTCGCCGTTTACAACCTGTCATACTCTGTGCAACTGCGAGGTGATTTCCAGGTAGATGTTTGCAGTTTCAAGCTGCATTGCATATCAACTGCTGGAATTGGGCTGCTCACATATGCCAGAGCTTCGGAAAACGTGAGCCTTCGAACCGCTTCCATCGGAGCATGCATCATCTCGAGCATCCTCACATGCCCGGCTCGTCGCAAGCATTGCTCTGCTTCAACGTCTCGCTCCGGATCCCTGCGTACTCTCTTCGCTGCAGCTCAGTGACATTCTGCTGACTGCATCAAAATTGTCAGGGGTCGCAGGGTGGCAACACTCCTCAAATCTAGCTCTTTCGCAAGCTTGCCGGGCCTCCTCCCAATATGCCCGAGAATTCCTGACATTTCCACACCGTTTTGCGAAGAGCATGCCGCTTTGATTCTGAATGTGTGGGACAGAATCGATTCCAAAAGGTGTCGTTGCTGCATGCAATTGTGATTTGCGGCGAAATTGCACGAGCCAGGTTCAAGATACAACAGGCTTCAGGCTCAGAGCTGGATTTGAGCAAACAAATACCAACAGAACCGCGATGTGTTCTCAGCGATGTCAGAGTCTCGAGGCACGACACACAGATGGTGAGCTGCGAAGCTTATCACCAGCCCGCTGCCAAGTCAGACAGGGGTCTAAACAAACATAAACAAGCCGAAACCGACATTGAAGGATTTGGGTTCCTCGGGGCTACATACTCCTAGACCGGACTGGTACCGCAAAACAAAACACAACAAAAACTTCTCCGCGTATTCCAGCCGCATCCCAAGGGTTTCCCTCGCCCCTGTGCGAGCGCGCAGGTGGCGTAGTGTTGCAGGAAGAACTGGTGCCAGACGCGCGAGTTTGACGCGCAAGACTTCTACACGAGAGCTGGTCTAAAATGCAACACCAAAACCTCTAGCCTCCCGTTCCAGATCTACTAAACAAAATCCAAGACAGAAGATAAGAAACACAACCACAAAGACGAGCAAAAGCAGTGCCATGTCTCCAGTGACCCATGCCTGTGTGGCCATATATGTTGGCTTTGATGGCTTTGTTGGTGCTTGTTTGATTAGTTTATTTGTTTGGCTTGTTTTCGGATTTTCCGTACGTTCAAATCAGAACTTTTGTCATTGATCCGCTCTTTGTTTTAGACCAAAAAGGCTACGTTCTTGTTTAGAGCCCATGTCCTATGACACGTTGCAGCTCCGAAACCGAACTCACTGATTTCTATATATATATATATATATATATATACTACCGCAGGACGAAAGTTCGCCATACAACATGAAGTTGAGAGATCACCACATGTTCACCCCTTTTCCCCCGTAATAAATTTATTCCCGGAAAGTAATTACTCCGCCACGCTGGCCACGTAAAATGGGTCTTGGGGCTCTCCGCCGTTCCGCGGCATACATCTGTGTTATAAGCTGCATGTCGAAACTTTCGGCCCGGTGGTGTATAAATGATCCCGGTTCTCGGCTCACCGACCCCCCCCCCCCGATGGTATCCCCCCCCCCCCCCCCACGCTCCCCAAGCCGAATCTGTGTGTGACTGTGCAAGCTTTTTCCACACGAGGGCTCACACGCCAAGCAGACCCACGCAGAGGAAACCCAAACCACCCCACACCACAGGGGGGAGTGGGGTAACCACCCTAAGCAGACCCACTCCCGAACCACACCACACCACACCACAGGGATGGGAAAACAACCCAACCACACCACACCACAGGGGGGGAGGAGGAACCATTGGGGTGGGGGAGGGCGGGGGCCCGGCCGAACCCGGATCATACATACCGTATGTATGTATATATATATATATACAAAGATATGTATGTATGTATATATCGCGAAATCGAGAATTCACATGTACATAGGTTTAAGTTTACACATACACGCAGTTACACACACATGTGTATATATATATATATAAGTGTGTTTATATATATATATATATATATATGCTAGTATTTGGTACCCCCCCTGTACCCCAACCTGTCTGTCAGGTGACTCGACTGCATGACGGACGCTGTTGCTTGGAGTTGCACTTACTCTCACCGACGTCGAAAACTGCAGACGACTCAGACGACGACATTCCAACGACGTGGGCGTAAATCTTGTGTTGGTCGGCCTTGCAAACACTTGATACTAAATGTCACCCAATGATGGTTTTCCACCTTTTCTTACGAAATGATTCCAAAAGTTTGTTTTTCACTTTTTTCCAAAATTTCCACGAAAATCTGCACTATATCAAGGGAAATAGTGGAAGATGTTGGTAGAACCAACGTTTCGAGGCACCTGGAAGCCAAAATGTTGGTTTTTCCAACTTTTTCCAAAGTTTCCACAACACTCTGCACTGTGTCTAGGGAAATCGTGGAGAATGTTGGTAAAGCCAACTTTTCGAGGCACTTGAAAGCCAAAATGTTGGTTTTACTAACATTCTCCACGATTTCCTCTGTACATAGTGCAAAAATCAGTGGAGATTTTGGCAACAGTTGGAAAACCAACTTTTGGGAACATTTAAAAAAGTTGGAAAAACCAACTTTTCGAAGCACTTGGAAGCCAAATGTTGGTTCTACCAAGACATAGTGCAGATTGTTGTGGAAATGTTGGGAAAAGTTTGAAAACCAGCTTTTGGAAGCATTTCGTTTAAACAAAGTTGGGACAACCAGTTCTATGAGATACTTAGAAAATGTTTCCTGGGTTCACTGACTTACAAACTCACTGACTCGCACTTATTCATTCACTGAGTCACGAATTCACTGACTCACTTCACTCATTCACTCACAGACTCGCAAATTGATTGGCTCACTCGTTCATTCACATGCTCACTGATTCGCTCACTATGTCCTCTGAGTATCACGTCGACTTCTATGTAAGCGATGAAAGCAAGCTTTTCTCTTGCGAAGCGTCATGTGGCAGCATGGTTGTGTTCATGTCAAACTGCTGAACTGCCGTTACTCAGCTGTTTCTACCTCAAAATCCTGATTCTGATAGCACTACTTCTTAGACTGCATCACCATGGAAGGTCGTCAAGGCGATGTGTCCATCGATGCTGGCATCCAAGCTACTCAAGGTATGTCGCTTTCGAAACCACGGCCGTATCCAGCTTGGTCAGATCAAGCGCGTGGTGGCATCTCCTTTTTCGATCTTCCTTTGCAGGACGTCAAGTGTGACAGCGCCAAGCACATAGTGGACATCATCAGCGATGTGCCCCCGCCTGATAAGACTGCCATTGAGGCAGCAATCAACTCTGGTCACTGGGGAAAGGATCGGCTACCCGAACCGTTTTGCGTGAAATCCGATATTGAAGTCAAGCTCATCAAGCAGTTCGTCGTCATCCCTCGAAACAATGGCAACGTCTCTGTTCTCAAGCATATGCAGAGCATATGTATAGCCCAAACATGAAGCTCACCAAGGCATGCTTGGAGTCTTTGTGCTACGGAACACCTTATGTCTTGAAGTGGCAAGGCCATGCACAGAACTTCAGGAGAGGGTTTCAATGGTTCTTGGAGCAGTTGGGTGGATGGCAGTGTCAATATGCACTGACCCACCAACCCCGTGATGGCTCCAAAGGTGGCTCTTACATGGCCAATCTGAGCGAAGAGGCGGTTGATAAGGGCTTTGCTTTCATCGAGGAGGAAGCAAGTCGACTTGGCACTGAGTGGAAGTGTGTTCAGTGGATGACCAAAAACTTGAACACTACTCCCGAGTCCCCCATCTACGCATGGCCTCAAGGACTGGTGGACTGATCTTTGCGAGCATTGCAAACCGATGGTGTGCTAGCCTTGCCCGTTGAAGACTTCAACTTTTCTCTGGCAGACGTCGAGTACTCCGTCCTTGACTTCGCTGTTCGCCACATGCTCAAGCACATGAAGACGCACTCAAACGGCTTCGTTGGCAGCCCCGGCAGTGGCAAAACTCCACTGGCCCGAACCATAGCCATGTGCATTGCAAGGCATTGGAAGCGTACCCTCAACATCTCTACCCCGCCATCCTTTCGCGAGGCATCCGAATTCGATTTCTTCCGAGGACAGGCTGGTCGCAAGGACCGGCCTGAAATTACACGACGATGGGTGCCTCGCATCGGAACCTATTCGCAAGATGAAAGGTTTCGCAGATGTAGGAATGTAGGATGTATTGCAATGACAAGGGAACGCTGGGGAGCAGCAAAGTTCGTTCAAGGGCAAATGCGTCTCTGCGTCTGCAACGACTTCGAGTTTACGCCATGGTTTAATAAGCATCAGCGTATTCGCGGTGGTTGCACAGTTCACATGAAACACGAAGTTTTTTGGACGTCAGCAAGCCGATGTTCCCGAAGGACACTGAGACTGGGACTTGTTGGTTAATTAAGATACTTGAATGTTTGTTTTAACAACTAATAAGCAATATCATGTTGTCCTTCGTTGTACTATCCCAAACTCTCATACCAAACTCAGGAGAATCCTCACGTCATGGCCTTGCTCAAGCGAGCGAACATACTGGTCAATGCTGGCACCATCATGTTGTTCCGCTCAGCAACACAGGAAGAAATTTCTGTGCCCGGATTCGTCATGGACAGCCACGTGGATTTCTTGAAGCCTGCATCGGCGAAGAGGTACAACGAATATCGTGACGGCATCAAGCCAACGCCTCCCACGTTTGACGATGATCTCAAATGGGAGGCCGACTACGTGAACGCAATCCTTCCTCACTGGCAACCCACCGCCACGGCCAAACCCCACCATCATCAATGCAGGCGCTATTCATGAAGTTTTTCATGGCTCAAGCCACAGGCCCACCGGCAGCTTCAGCGCATCTTCTCTGCCATCATCATCTGTCAACACAGCTACGGAGGTCAAAGAAGAGCCCCGGCCATTTCGCAGGGCTTTGTCCACACTGTCAAGTGAGATCATTGACCTAAGCACTCCTTCACCCAAGAAGAAACCCAGAGTGGCAACCGTCAAGGAGGAGGAGGAGGAGGTGCACGACCCCATGGACGATCTTGCCTTCGAGCCCCAGGGAATCTCACAACAGCTGACTGACTTCATCGACGAACAAGATGCAAAGGATCATGGTGCGTGAACATATGATCCGGCATACAGGTGACATTTTTCAAATGCGCTCCCTGCGAGACTGGCTATATCATCTGTTGTAGCAAACTGCTGAATCAGCTTAGTTGCTAAATGTAGTATTTTATCCTTCTCACTACATATAGTATGTTTGAAAAGTTTCAGGCCGTATTGAACATGGTCGGGAGCGAGTGCCTGCATTCCCAGAAAGAAAGTGTTTTGGACATAGCTTTCTTTCCATACGAGGATGCTAGCATACGGATCTGACTGACTGGCGACTGGTCATCTGTTAAAAAATCGATAGCACAAAGGTTAATCCAACCAGACACTCATGGTGCTGAGGTTGTGCAGCAACTTGCCTTGCCAAGTTTGTCCACGGTATGCAGCTTGATCTGCACAAGGTGCGGTCCTTACCTCGCCTCGCGTTTTCATCACCATGGCTAAAAGATGTCCTCCACCTCATGTCCCGAAGAGGGGCAAGGCCCGACAAGTTCGCAAGCAGCCAGCGACCAAGAAATCTACCGCTTGGAAAGCCAGCCCCTACGCCCGAGAGGAAGGCGGCCCAGGACCTCGTGGACAACGCAAACATCAAATTAAGTAGACACGTTCAATCGCACAGCTCCTTACGGCAAGCGACAAGGCCATCATCAAGATCCTCACTACTGAAAAAATCCTTGTTGATTGGACTGGTACTACCTGCCCCCGTTGCTCCACCGGCAATCTCGAAGCTCATGCAGTTCCGAAGCAACACTTGGAAATACAAGTGCTCTTCAAACAAGTGCAAAGCTTGGTTGAACCCGCATCACCTTCATCCCGTTTTCACAGAAGGCAAGGGTTCAACATCGGCGTCGCTGCAGGCCCAAGCGTCTGTACTCTTACTGCTCCTCTTCCGCATCCCGCTGTCCACGGTCCATCTGCTCACTCACGTGAACCGCAAGGCTGCTGAGGACATGTACCGCTAAATGTGTGAACTGAAAAATACTATGTCGAGAAGGAGGAGAAAAAGATCACATTCGGCACTGGGCAGTCTTGGAAAGATCTTGAGGCGGATGAAGCCACCTTCGACAAAGGTGACATTAGCACGTCGGTCGAATTCAAGCACCTCATCAAAGACAAGAAGTCTACTTGGATGTGGGAGCAATGGGCGGGTGTTGTTCAACGAGGTCGTCCCGAAACACTTGTCTTGCACAGGCTCAACCCGAAGGTGACGGTCAAGAAAGCCCCCGGACCGGGCGCAATTCGCAAGATTGAGTGGCAGACTCTCGGGAACAAGCTTTTGAAGGGCCGGAAAGTGGTTCTACACACGGACTCAGCAAAATCCTACAAGGCGTACATCGACGGGGTCATCCACGACCGAGTAGTTCATTGCAAAAAACGAGTGAAAGTCAATGGCCGTTTCAAGTGGATTAATCCCAAGTACGTAGGAATCGTTGAGCATAAAACTCCTGGCGCTCAGAAGATTTTGTATTGCAAGTCAGGAACTCAGGTGATCGACAGAGCCTGCCGTTTTTTGGAAGATAGGATCGTCATAAGCCAGAACTGCAAGGCCGGTTCCAAGTTGCTGCGTGCAAATTTGCGCTCAGCGCAATATGAATACTGGAACAAGAACGCAGATCTTTGGCTCCATACCGGAGTGTTGTGTCATGCTCACACGCAACGCATGCTGGCCGAGTGATAGTGTCGTCATATCATCCCTCCAGAATGCATTATGAGCTGTGATTTGTTTACGTAGCTGCAAGCAAACCCACTCATACTGAGCCATGTCTGCACCCTTCTGCCGAACTTTTCCGACAGACGTGGCGGACCTAATTTTCGCCTTTGGAGAGCGTATTCTCGGACCAGTTCCTTCTGCGCCCCCCGTAAAATGGGAAAAAAGAGTTTGCAAGCTGCCCAACGGCATCTCAACGTGTCTGTTCAGCATGCCTTTGTGTTGTCGTCGTTTCTGTCAAGTTATATATATATATATATATATATATATATATAGGGCGACGATTCACTTTGATACTCTGATGGAACTGTTTTGTTGAGTAAGCACGTATAGAAACCAACAAGGTGACGTGATCTATAAATACGACGACCTACTGTACAAGTCTACTCCAAACGGAGACAAACCATTCACGGACGATGACATGTTCAGCTACTGGTCAGATTGACTGACTTCTGACAGCTTCTCCACTGTTGCGAGATCGCTGAGCTGAGCTTTCCTTCAAAGAAGAAGGTCAGTTATGGATCGGCTTGAGCAAGCATGCGAAGCTGAGCTTTCCTTCAATCAAGAAGTTCAGTTGTGGATCGGCTTGAGCATGATAAAGAAGCCATGACGATACAACTGAGTGGTCTAAACAGCTGCTAGCAGTCAGAATCAGTCAGACATGTGCCACATCTAAGTTATCTCGCCTGCAGTTGTGGCGTGTCTTGGAGAGCCTGACTTGGGGTACTGGGGGGAGGGTAGCATATGTGTGTGTGTGTGTCTTACGTATGTGTATGTCTATGTACATGCCTGTGCAAGTACATGTTCATATACATGTGCATATGTGCACACATATATAGATATATGCAGCCCCCAACTGCCCACGTTTGCTGTGTTGTGTTGTCTTTGTTTGTTTCTTGTGTAGACTCTTGCATGTAATATGCTTAAACTACGGTACATGTTCCTCGAACAGTCTGCCAGCTTGGAACCTTCAGTCAGGCTTTCATGAAAGAGGGGCTCTAACATTCTACTCAGGCTTCGGTCTCTAGATCTAGTTTTTAGAATCTCTTAGCACTAGTAACATTAGTAGTCGCCTGTAACAGTAATTAGGTACATAATACAACAGATAATGAAGTCATTAATTACGGCGGCAGCGCCAGACTGTCAAAGAAGATTTCCATGGCACATACACATATGTAAATATACATATACGCATGTCAACAAACCTCTTTGTTGGTCTTAGCTTCTCAAATGTGAAGTTGTTCATGAGTTTTCGAATTTGGCAGTATGTCGAAGGGCACTATTGTGGATATATGGGCCATATCCACCGAAGACCGGCAGACACATAAGCACAGGAGCAAGTGGATAAAGACGCCGTCTCCGGGTCAGCCTATGTTCGAGGGAAGTTAATTCTCTCACCTCCGTCATGTACGCTCTAGCTTTTACTCGTCTTTCGCCCCGAGAGAGACAGACAGAGAAAAAAAGAGGTAGCTTGAGGGAGACTGGCAGCACGTCAGTGCCCAAAGCTGGATGGCGAGGATATCCTGTGAATCGAAGTTGCAGTGAATTTGCCAGAAAGCCATATGCCGCAATCCCCTACAAAGTTTGAGACCTTCTGTTGGGCCTGCCGAGGTGTGTTCGTAAAGGGCCCGTAATAGCACGAGACGAAACACAGCGAAAGCTTCTTCTTGCAGATGGCACACTGTAGCAACAGCAGCCGAATCTTGTTGCATGCATACATGACAGGAACTTGGCGCGAAAGATAGATGAGACCAGTCAGAATTAATCCTGCACGGTGCTGCAGGTCCGGGTGGGCGATGAGTGGAAATCTTCACTTCGCCCTGACAAATTTGACTACACTCCAAGTCATGCTGGCCAGATTGTAAAGTGCAGGCTACAGTTCCGCATTGCGATGGCCAAAACCGACAAGACAGGGCGGTTCCTGCTGTGCCACAGGCTTACCACTTGGCAGATCAACATAGCCCTCTTGTGCTGGCCTCAGCACCGAACAAAGCCGAAAGAGAATCTGCTGAGAGAAGCACCGACTGTCTCTGTTTCCCAGTTTCTTAATTAATGATAGCCATAGAGAAATCACAAGGATGGTATCCGCCAACGTGTATTTCTGCGACAACGCACCCACTATAAACACACGGATGCCCGTGTGCTCGGATTGTGTCGGGGCTGATTCCTGACAGGTGTGCAAGACCTGGTGGAGAAGAGGCCCCGACTTGTAACTGTTATTTATGGAGCGCGAGTTGCACAGTCCAGGTTTGTGGGTGGACCGCATGCAGAGACATCTCTGCAAGAAGGCCATTAACAGGGTTGCAGTTAGATGGCTTCCAAGAAGCGATCGAACTGCAGTTATGAAGTCGCAGAACGTGGAAACACATTCTTGCCAGAGTGACATCAATCGAGGATCCGTTCCGGCATGTGATGCGACGAGAAAAAGTAGCTAAGCGCCACGGTCTGTATCGCAGCATGGCACTCACACATCCCTTTGCTATCCAAGCTTGCTTGTATGCGGTGAGGATATGACTGTGGATGCTCAGTGACGTACCTGCTCAAAAGCGCTACCGTCTGTATCGAAGTATGGCACTCACACATCCCTTTGCTATCCAAGCTAGTTTGTATGCGGTGAGGATATGACTGTGGATGCTCAGTGACGTACCTGCTCAAAAGCGCTACCCTCTGCATCGAAGCATGGCACTCACAGATCCTTTTGCTATCCAAGCTTGCTTGTATGCGGTGAAGATATGACTGCGGACGCTCAATGATGTACCTGCTCAATTGTCACAACTTGGGACTGGGATCAGAAACCCTTTGCAAGCTCATTGGTGCTGTGCATCGTTCATTATTCGACAGGGTTTTGTGGACTAGACCAAAGAAGGATGTGTGACTTCTAATCTTTACCTCAATTGTGCTGACAGCAAAAACCCTCTTTGGGTGCCAGGTCTTACAAGGGCAGCCTACGCAATCCAAGGCATGATTACCCAGAGACAAACAGCAACCAACACCCGACTAAATCTAAAGCCTATCACATGCTATTGCTTCTGTCTAGCGTTGGGTTTGTTTTCAACGTCGTTCAAATTCCGACTTGTCGTCGAAATTTGTGCTGATATGACTATCGCACTGACTTTCGGGTTTTCGATTAGGATCTTCTTTGGGCCTGTGGCCTGTCGTAACTCAGCACTTCCCTATGAAGTGCTCCTAGAGTGCAGCTGTGCGTTTGCCACCATGGAGGCAGGCCACCACTTCCGGTTTTCCATTGCCAAAGGGTCGACCAGGCAAAGTTCGGAAAGCGCTATGACGTGGCACTGCGACAATTACGGCATCTGAATAACTTTCCCATCCGTCGGCGATGGCGAGCTTCAGCATGGATACCTTTGCAAGTCCTTCAATGACCGACCAAGCTTCTGCCTAAGTGCTTTGGCAAAAGCCGTAACTGATAACGTGAGTAGGAATGTCAGCTCCGACCTTAATATCACGAAGTCAGACGGTAGGTAGTGGCACCGACTCTAAGCTGCGGACCAGATGCAAATGATGATGGCTTCGCCCCTGATGCAATGCAGGGAAGCCAGAGTGCTTTTAGCTGGGGAATCCGTTTGTATCATATCCTTACTCGGACTCGTAATGTACGCGGTGGAGGATTGATCAGTTTGGAGGGAAGAAGGTTTTGGTTGTAGTTTTGATTTGGCATACCAGTACGCATTACCATCATGATGCTTTCCTGCTACTCATGCTACCATTGTGAGAGTTGCTGTTTGACTGCGGCTTCATGTGGAGGGGTTGTTTGCCATTGTTAGGCGTCAGCTTCAGTCCCTTGTGCAATGATCCCGTTCTTGTCGAGAAGACAAACCGACCATATACATAGTAACGACTGGGCATCCAAGCAAACGTCCTGCTGTGTTTCCGATGGCTGTTCCTGTTGGTGGTTCGTGTTTCGCTGGTCGCCTGCTTGCTTTTAGATGGGTTCCCGTTTCTCCCAAAGCGGTTCTCGCCCGCACCCCTCCCTGCTGTTCCGCGGTTGGTCCGTGGTGGGTATCTGATGATTCTGATTGTGCGCACCTGGAGACCTGCCGCTGCCATGGTGTTGTTGGGCGTTTTCGGTAGTGGGAACCTGGCGCTCGCTGACCTGGCCGATATAGGATCCCAGTGTTTCTTGTGCGATTGGCACAATGACCAGCACCCCCGCTTGGTCTTCTGGACATCTTCGCTGGGGGTTTTCGGGGATATACCTGTTTATTATCGATATTTGATCATAACTATATTCATATTTGAGTCGGATTCATATCTATATAGAAATTAATTTGGTTCGATAATTTTATATAAGATGATCTGATAAAATAAGTTGTTAAGAACAGTGAATATTTATTGAAGATCTTATTGATAATTAATAAATTGGCTATTTTCCATAAGAGTCAGATATTTATGATTATATATCGGATGTTTTAGAAATGAGAAATTCAAAATACTAAATTTCTGCTACGAATACATAATTCTCCCGTATCTCACCTAATAAACCCCCCTTCCCCCCGTCGCCTCCTCCTGAAACCTGATGGGGTCTTAGCGTGGATAGGAAGTGTTGTTTTTTTCCGGCGTTTTCGGTACTTCGAATATAGGTAAGATGTATCGTGAAAATTGATTTAAATGGCGTATCGTTCTATTGATTTTCAGAGGGGGCATAAATGTACGAAATCTGCAGTTTTTTATTATTCTAGATAAATTATTAATTCTTCTCTCTTTCTCTTGAGTATTTTAAGAAGATTCTTTTCTTCTTGTCTCTCTCTGTTGTAGCGAGCGTTCTATAAATGATGGATATTGGTGATTGCGTAATGGTGATATATCAATTCTATAAATTTTGAAGATAAAGATTAATAAGGTTTTATTTTGTTAGATTCAGAATCAATATATCTTCCGTCATACTCAAAAAAATATCTAGAATTCACGAATTTGATATATATATATATATATATATATATAATATCCGT